CTGGGGCAAAGCTGGGAAGCAAAGGGGCACTGCTGGTGGTTAGCTATCACCTAGAACCCAGGCATCCAGGCCCAGAATCCTGAACAGGGAAAGAGGCACAGAGCTCTCAGATAGGACTCCCAAGGGCCCCAGGATTCAGTGTGTGAATACAGGAGACAATGTAGAAATGAAAGGAAGTGAATTGACCAGTACTCGGCAAGGCTGTATTAGATTCTAAGACACACAGGCATTCTGTGACTTTGGGCAAGGACTATGAGCCTTAGAATGCAGGAGGGAAGGGCCCTGGACCCTTGTTTGGAACCCCAATGGAAAGTTGAACATTTCTAATCTTTGGTTAAACATTTCATAAAATGTGTTTCTTTTAATGGCACCACTCAGAAAAAGGTTTGGTTTTGTTTTTTTTTGTTGTTTTTTGTTTTTTTTTGCAAACAAGTTAAAAAATAGGATTGAATAGGTTTGCTTACTGCAGGACTTTGATACTCTAACAAGTATAACGTTTCCTAGAAATAGTTTATCAGGGAATTCTTTTGTCACAGAGTAATTGTAGGATTGGATTCTCCAGGACACTGAGAAAGGATTCCCTAGTTCCTTTGCTGTTCCTTTCTGGTCCTCCCTTAAATTCCTTGTCTCCATCTCCATTTTCTCCAGGAACAGCAAACCACGAAATCGTCCATCATTCCGACAGATCCTGCTACATCTGGACATCGCCTCAGCGGATGTCCTTTCCACACCCCAGGAAACTTATTTTAAGTCCCAGGTGTGCTGTGGGTAGAAAGATAAAACATCTCAGCTCCCCCTCTTTGAGGAGATGCTCTTTGAGGAAAGAAATGTTGGTTGGGATGGAATAGACAAGCTTTTGGAAGGCTGAGACCATTGTTGGTCAACTAGTTCCAACAGTTCGCAACAGTGCAGGCACCTGCAGGGGCCTTCTAGGGTATGCCCAGTGAAGGCACGTTTCTCACCCCTCACTGTGTCTCCACACCCCAGGCAGAGTGGCGTGAAGAGGTAAAGCTGCACTTTGAAAAAATTAAGTCCGAAGGAACCTGTCTGCACCGCCTAGAAGAGGAGCTAGTGATGCGGAGGAGGGAGGAGCTCAGGTGTGTGCCTGTGTTTAGAAAGGTGGTCATACCCTAAAGAGGGGACTTTGGGCCAGTTCCCAGAGACTGGGACAAATCATTATACCAGGTGAAGCCAGCTCAACTTGAAGACTTCTCTGACCATTTTAGACACGCCTTGGACATCAGGGAACACTATGAACGGAAGCTGGAGCGAGCCAACAACCTATACATGGAACTTAATGCCCTTATGTTGCAGCTGGAGCTCAAGGAGCGGGAGCTCCTCAGGTAAACCCTGGGGCCCTTATGCAGCCCCCAATCCCATCTTCATGGAGCTGTGCCTAGCCAGATCCTCCTGAGCCTAGGTCCCCCTTCCTGGTTCCTGCTCTCACATGCCCAACTGAAGTGGCATCTGTCTTTAGGAGGGAGCAAGCTCTAGAGCGGAGGTGCCCAGGTCTGCTGAAGTCACACCCTTCCCGAGGCCTCCTGCATGGGAACACAATGGAGAAGCTCATCAAGAAAAGGAATGCTCCACAGAAGCTGTCACCCCACAGCAAAAGGTGGGACTGGAGTTAAGTGCTGAGGTTCAAAAATGACAATGGGGGTGCTGGAGAAGCAGGGGTAGAAGTCAACAATGCCAGGAATACTGGTATTTAAATGGAAGGAGCCCTGGCCAGGAAGTTCAGTTGGTTAGTGTTGACCCAATATTCCATGGTTGCAGGTTCAATCCCCAGGTCAGGGCACACACAAGGCTCAACCAATGAATGCATAAATGGAACACATTTACTGCTCTCTCTCCTTTCCTCTAAAAGTCATTTAAAAAATGTTTTTAATTGGGCTCTTTGTATGGCCCGAAGTTTGGGAATACTTTCAGTCAATAAATTTGTTAATCTCAAACTTGTCCTTTCCTCTCCCACCAGGCCAGATATCCTCAAGACTGAGTCTTTGCTACCAAAACTAGATGCAGCCCTGAGTGGGGTGGGTCTTCCTGGGTGTCCTAAGGGTCCCCCCTCACCAGGACGGAATCGCCGTGGCAAGACCCGTCATCGCAAGGCCAGCGCCAAGGGCAGCTGTGGGGACCTGCCCGGGCTTCGTGCATCTATGCCCCCCCATGAACCTGGGGGACCAGGAAGCCCAGGAGTGCTAGGAGGGGGACCCTCAGCCTGGGAAGCCTGCCCTCCAGCTCTCCGTGGGCTCCATCACGATCTCCTGCTACGAAAGATGTCCTCTTCATCCCCAGATCTGCTGTCAGCAGCACTGGGAGCTCGGGGCCGTGGGGCCACAGGGGGACCTGGGGATCCTGGCTCACCACCTGCAGCCCGGGGTGACACCCCCCCAAGTGAGGGCTCAGCACCTGGCTCCACCAGCCCAGATTCACCTGGGGGAGCCAAAGGGGAGCCACCTCCACCAGTAGGGCCTAGTGAAGGTGTGGGGCTGCTGGGAACTGGAAGGGAAGGGACCTCGGGACGGGGAGGAAGCCGGGCTGGGTCCCAGCACTTGACCCCAGCTGCACTGCTGTACAGGGCTGCTGTCACCCGAAGTCAGGTAAAGTATGGGACAGTTCCTGAGCTCCTTTCCTTGATCTCCCCCTGGGGTCCAATTCCATTAACTCTTGATCTTAAGCCATTCCCTACATAACCCTTTGTAATTGTGTTCCCCTTCCCTGGGCCAAATACCTCTTCCCATTTTTTGACCAGTCCACTCATCTCTCCTGCAGAAACGTGGCATATCATCAGAGGAAGAGGAAGGAGAGGTAGACAGTGAGGTAGAGCTGACATCAAATCAGAGGTGAATGAAGGAATAAAATAAATAATGGCCTTCATTTGCTTTCTGGGCTGCAAGGAGCGCCATCAAGCTGTAGCTGTCTCCCTGGCATAGGTGGCCTCAGGGCCTGAACATGCGCCAGTCCCTATCTACCTTCAGCTCGGAGAATCCTTCAGATGGGGAGGAAGGTACAGCTAGTGAGCCATCCCCCAGCGGGACACCTGATGTTGGCAGTACCAACACTGATGAGCGGCCAGATGAGCGGTCTGATGACATGTGTTCCCAAGGGTCAGAAATCCCACTGGACCAACCTGCTTCAGAGGTAGTTACTGGCCCTGAACCCAGCTCCTTGCCCATCCAGCACCAGGACCCACTCAGAGGGAACAAGGTGAGTAACAAAAAGCCAGGTGTTGGACAGGAAAGAGATAGATGGTCATTTGAGAGCTACTAGAGAGAACAGGTGCAGAAGCCAAAATATAGGTGTTTTTCATTCAGGTCATTCAGTATCTAAACTGTCTCCACCAATATACCAAAGAGCAAATTTTCCACATGGTGGAATAGGAGGCCGGTAGGACGGATAGCTTAGTAGGTTTGCTTACATAGTAGCTTTAATCACAGCCAGGAAGGAATCCCGAAACTAGGAGCCTCGAGCCTTGGAGAATGGCCTAAGCAACAATCTGGAGGTAATAAAATCAGTGAGCTGCTGGCTATTAAAGCAAAGACTTCAGTGAAGGGAACTGAAGGAATCTATAATGCCAAGAGATGTGAGCCTGACACCTCACTGCATGTCTACTCTTCACAGGGCCCTCCCAATTCTGAGGACTCAGACTGTGACAGCACTGAACTGGACAACTCCAACAGTGGTGAAGCCTTGCAGCCCCCAGCCTCCCTCCCTCCATGAAAGCCACTCTTATTCCTGTACATAGAGAAATATTTATATAAATAATATATATGCGCCACATAATCAACAGAGAAAGACAGGGCTATCCCAGCCTTAAGTCAGGCTCAAGGGAGACTAACTCCTGACTGATCCACCTGATAAACTCTAAGGACACTAGCAGCTGTGGAAATAAAGGACAAGGACTGCCCTAGAGTTGTCGGTAAGGGCAAACTTGCCCCTCCCTGCTCCACCCCATTATGCTCAGCAAACAGGCAGTAGAGAAAACACACTTTCCTCCTATGATCCTCTATACCCTTTCCCCCAAACCCTGAGGAAGAAAGGGAGCCACTGAACTGCACTTTTTTGTTTTGTTTACACATTTTGCACTTGAGGAGGGAGACTAAGGCTGGGTCCTATCCTCTTGAGTTTTCTCAGGTGCAATGTAACTAATTTCTTTGTCCCTCCATTTCTCTGCCCAAGTCCTGACTTAGGGTCTAGGAGGGAGGTTAGAAGGTTGTAAAAGCATGTGATGGCTCAGGCTGAAGAACTGGGGTGTTAAGTCCCTGCTTTTATCTTGGTGCCTGATTGGGGTGGAGACTGTCATATTGTAATCCCTGTGAAAAACCTTGAAATATAACCACTCCATGCAGGCCCAGCTGTTGAGGGTTTTCTTGGTAAATGAATGGGGTAGCACACATGGTGAAGTAGTAGCCTTGAGCTCCAGATATTATCTGAGGACTGTGGACACATTACTTCTTCCTTTAATGCTTCTCTCTCTAAATGAACATCACTTAAAGCTACAACCTGCTAAATTATCTGCATAAGTGGGAGCAGTTAACTCTAAAGGATAAATATGGAGAGAGGACTGTACATGAGCAGTTACTAAAAATGAGGACACTTTAGCTTGGGCAAGAGGACATTCCTAGCAACCTGAATCCCAGCCCAACACACTTCCAACTGCTTCTGTGTGCACGCGTGTGTGTGTGCGCGCATGTATGTGTGTGTGTCCTCCCCACACCCTCCTACCCCCCCAAGTGGAATCGCTTGCCTATTCTTTACAGGTAAATCCTAGAGAATGTAATCTCCCATCTTTGAATCAAAGGCACAGGCAGCCTGCTCTAACTATTAGGATCACTTCAATGCAGGCCTCAAGGAAAAACCCAATTAAGGGCTACAAAAAAAAAAGATGGAGTGGTAAATGGAAGAAACAACTGGAATAAAGGCTCATATTAACAACCCAAGCAGGGTCCTTGTCCTTTGAGGGATGAAAGGTACAAAATAAAACAGCAAGACAACAGGAATAAAACCCACATGAATCACTGTGGCATCCAGTTTCTATTCACAAAGAAAAAGTTCCAGTCCATCTTTTAATTTTTTTTTTGAAAAATTCCTGACATTACAGAACTAAACTGAAATGTATTAATATTCCACTCTTACATTTCCATGACAAACAGAAAAAAATTTCATGAGCCAAAAAAAAAAAAACAAACAGGGAGAAGCTTATAAAACTAAATATGGATCTCAGCATTAACAGCTGAACATAGAAAGGAATTAAAACGCTTTAATTAAAAAATCACGAGTGGATGATAAAGTGTGTAGAAACTGAAAATTTACAAACTATTTAAAACCTGGAATCGCTGACTGTTCAGAAACTACACAGATGGATCATGGGTGGTGGTGAACAGCAGAAAGGGGTTATGGATGAATCTGCATTGTTCTAGCTGCTCCCCATGCCACCCGTCTCCGAAGAAAGCCTGTAACACAAAACAAGAACTCAAAGTTAGTTTTCTTGAGTGCCCAGCTGCACTTCACCTCCAAAACTTTCAACCTGGTTGAAATGTGAAGGCGAGTTTATATGAAACAAAATCAGTGTTTCAGTATCAGGGGTAACATTTCAAGATTCCTTGAGTTAACTAAAACTATGTGCCTATAACCCTGCAATCCAAGCTTCATGAGGGCAAACTATTTCAGAATCAAAGTGAACTGAGGACACCTTTGGTATCAACTGTGGGCATCCCTCAAACTGTGCTCTTCTGAACCTTTGTGGCAGATGTTTAACACCTTATGGCCCTGATGGGGTAGCTCAGTTGGTTAGAGCATCATCCTGACATGACAAGGCTGTGGGTTCAATTCTCCCAGTCAGGACACATACAAGAATCAACCAATAAATGCAACAACAAATCGATGTTCCTCTCTCCATAAAAAACATTCTGATAATGTAACACCTAGTAAAGTCTCCTGTCAGAGTCACAAAATACAGAAGTTTTTCTTTAATCACCTAAAGACATTTTTTCATTGCTTTTAGAGCAGAAGGGAGAACGGGAAACACTGATGCAAGAGAGAAGCATCCATCCCTTCCTTCCATTATGTGCCTGGACTGGGGACTGAATCTGCAACCTAGACATGTGCCCTGCCCAGGAACTGAACCCTGCAAACTTTTGGTTTGCGGGAGGATGCTGCAATCAACTGAGCCAATCTGCTAAAGCAGAAGCAATGTTTCTTTACTGCTGAGCTTATTTCCACTCCTCCTAAGATAGTGACAGAATAGTTTAGAAAACATTTCTGTAAAAATAGCCTTACCAGGCTGCCAAGACAGGTTCAAAAAAAAAAAAAAAAGTGTGGGGGGGGGCATGATTCCCCTCTGGAGAGCTCACCTGGATGGACCTTTCCCTTCCCTTATCTCCCCCCCCCACCCAGCATTACACCTTTGCTTTTCTCTCTCCTAAGCTCCAAGGGCCCTTCTTTTGTTTCTGTAACTTGTTTCCTAAGCCTGCAGAGCCCAGCTGGCTCCCTTCTACCTCTGTAACTTTCTAAATAAACTCATAATTTGCCGGGGGGGTCTTTATTATAGAACATTCTATTACTAGCTAACTACTAAGAGATGCTTTAAATGCTAAGAGATGTCATAGAGGGAGGCGCAAGTATAGTATGTACGAGTCAAGAAGTATACTTAACCTACAGTTTTGAGGCCTAGTTTTCAGGACTTAAAAGTGAAAGCCAAAATAATGTTTTAGTAATTCCCTAACTCCTATTCTAGAAGCTTTTAAATCTGTGGTATTAAGACAAAGTCTCCATCCAAACATACCTAGCTACAAAGTCTTTGATTCGAATACATCATTTGATGCCCCAGAATCCAATTTTGGGCTTTGAAGAAAAGGTATGTAGGCCTTTGGCTTCACTGATAATAGGTAGCCAGCAAGACAGTTTACCTTTTTAATAGAACTAATACATTACAACTGAACTTTCACTTCAAAAATTTATTTCAAAAAGACTTTGAAATGTCTGGCCTAACCTATTTGTGGTCTCTAGTCAGGGGAGCATGAACACTGCCCATCTGTGTCTCTTCCACAACACTGAAAGACAAGAGCTGGCCAGTAGGGGGTAGGAAAATAAGGGCCAATAAGTAGACGGGTCTTTCAACTACTAATTTTGTGTCAGAAATGGTATTTCCACATCAACATAAAGAGGAATATTTTGTTCTTAAAAGAGGGTAGATTCTTGCCAACAACAAAATGGGATAATCTAGGGTAATGTAAACAGGCCCTGAATAAGAGTATAAGGGGGAACTGAAAGTTCAACAAAAGATCTACTGGAAACAGTTTAGATCTAGGACGTAAAAAAATATTAAGTTCATGCAGGAAGGTGGTAGCACTTCAGCACCAAAGAGAGCTTGGAAAGAACTGTCCAGAATTTATGCACATAGCCTTAGTAGGGATTGAAAGAAGAGGGCAAGTATAAAGGGGACAAGGAGATAAGAAAACCCAACCACAAATACTATGTTGTGGACTCTTGGTGATGGTAGTCAGTCCCTTAAACATCTGGATTCCTTCCCAGCCATCCTCCTTTAGGGAGAATTCATTAGGTAAAGAGGCCTTCTAATCAAGAACTACACAAAATTATGAAGTCTCTGGGGAAAATGGTATCAGCAAGACTGAGATTAAGTCCAAACTACAAAAACATCTCACCTAAGGGAGAACTAGACTACATGATAAAGGAGCAGCTAGCAACTAAACAAGAAAAGTCCTATCTGGATAATGAACGGAAGTTTGCCCTCTAGTCCTCCATGTGAACTTGCGACATGTAAAAACTAACTCATAGGCCCAATCTGGGTTCGAGGGGCCACAATACCATGATAATATATAATGCTATACTCATGAGCAATTAGTTTTTCTTAACACTATAAACCAAAGGGAATTTAGGAAAAAGTTATCAGGAAAAAAACCTCTGCAGTATTTCTCTAATGTCTTGCTTGGGAAGAGCATCCCTTTCATTATACTGGCAGTATGTATTCAGGTTGAATGGAATACTACCAGATGTCCTTTACCATTACACCCACAATATTTCTACCCTCTTATGAAGAAGGAACTGAGAGATCTTAGAATAAGAAAAGTAAGTCTTCAGGGATATTAAGTACTGACTAGTACTTTGAGTTTTAAGTCCTGACTAGTCATCCATGTGATTTGCAAATGTGAATTTTCCCAGGGCCTCATTTTTTTGTTAAATTGAATAAATGAGTAACCGATGAGTTATAGTTGATATTAATGGTTCCCTCTTAAAATTATAATTTCCCACTCATGGTAAATAGAGGGTTGGTGGGGAGACAGAAGGGTAAACAAGAAATGGAAGGATAAAGGGACTTAGTCTAGTAAATTAGGGTTAATTTAGGATGACTGGGACATAATTCTGTCAAATTTTGGGTGATGTCACACACAGGTTGGTTGTTCAAGGTTTACCCAATGTGATAAAAGTGGAGTAATGCCAGTTCAGGGGAATGCGGACAAGCTGGCAAACTTTTGAGACTTTCCCCAAATTGCTTCCCTATTCTGGGTGAAGAAATAACCTCTTTGTATGTATGACCTATAAAAGATCCTCAGAGTAACCCCTCACCAGAGGAAACAAGCTGGAGATGGATACCACGGTTACTTGCTGCTGTTGGCAAGGTAAGGGATGTGAAAAGTCAGAGAAACTATTGTTCACTGAAGAAGGTTCTTGCCAATTATGGAAGACCCTCAGGATTTAATCCCATGACAGGCCCATCACTCTTTGTGGGGAAATGACAAAGGACTAAAAATTAACCAGGGATACAAAGAGAGCCAGTCAGTTTTTATAGACTCCCTAGTTAAGAAGCTACAGGTCACAAGTTCCCACCCCTTTACCCTTCACAGCACACAGTCAACTAAGGTTCTTACTGTGGCAACTTTATTACATCTAGAAACACAAATCTGGCCAAGAAGGCCAGCTGATAACTTAACCATTAAATAATTTTTTAAAAAATAAAGGTTAACGGAGAAGCTTTTATTCATTAACACAGAGCCTAACACATTGTTATATTGCAAGGCAGAATAAAGCTACAAAAAAGTAACAGAATGAGAAAAAGCAAGAACTGTGGCTCCAGATAAAGTATTCAACAAGTCAGACTCTGAAACAGGCACTGAGCTGAAATGGCCTAAACCTAAACAACGGTACCATTGCCCCCACCCCCACCCTACTATCCCCCCAAATAGTAAAAAGGAAATGTCACAAGCTCACAATTGTTTGGTTCTTACCAATGTTAACAAAGGAAAACAAAACGAACCAAGAATTACTTGAGGGAATGCCTCAAAATATGCAATCAGTAGGGGGAGAATCTCTGTTTCTCGCCTTTCAGTTTGTTAGTTACACATGGCACGGCAGAGGTGGTGGTGGTGGTAGCTGAAGCCCCGGAACCCTTAGCAGCAGACACAACATTTAGAGCCAGGAGAGGGATGGGTTTCATGCCAAGCAGACTGGAGACACAAGGGGCGGTCGGAAGAGGGTTGGGGAGGCTGGAGGGTGCGTCGGAGGTCCCCGCTGTGGCGAGCGAGGGGGTGGTGGTGGAGGAGGAAGAAGAAGAAGAAGGGGTGGAGGGTTGAGAGAGGTTGATGCTGAGGTGATCAGGGATCGTGACGGAGGCTGCCTGGGAGGAGGGTTTAGCGTTTTCTAAACTGTAACAGAGGAAAAAAGGAACAAAAAAAAAACGGGTGGGTGGAAGGGAAGACCACAAAAGGGAAAAAAGTACAGGACAAAAACTGCTTCAGTTATCAGTTAAGTGCCTCTGGTTGTCAATTAGGAAGACCTAATACCAACTTGTGACAAGCTGTTTCTTTTTAGTTTATATCCCACCCTCTAAAAACGTATACTTGCCAAATTTAATTCCACAGTGCTATTTAAAACTGCTACGGTGAAGAAAAAGCTGACAGACCAAGAAAAGAAACAGCACACACTTCCATGTACGACACACTGATCCAACCCAGAAGTCAAGAAGGCCAGGTTTCAACTGAAAATGAAAGCAGTCTCTCTCCAAACAAGGAACAAATGTTTCACCTACCAATCATTTGCAAAGCTTTGGGATATCAACCCACAGAATTAAAAGAAAAATTTTTTTTTCTGTAATATAAAAGTTTCCTTCCATCTCCACAGCAATCTAATCAATACACTAGGATGGACAGGGGAAAGAGACCAAAGTAGGTCACTGACTAATCTCAAACTTCAAAGCATGTAACATTTTCAAAGAAAAATCCTGAGGACAGAAGTGTAGATAAGAACTAGGGAAGCTTCATTTCTGACGAGGAAAAAAGCTCTTTGTTTTATGACTGACCATATTGGTAATACAATCCTTACAGTAGAAACTCAAGCACTGTCAAAATCTTATGTTCAGAAAGTAAAAATATTGCTTCTACTCCTAAAATAAGCTCCGGATAACAGCAATAACCTGCAGGTACCTGCTGAAGTCTGTCTGGACAACCCACCCTGCAAGATGAACTCTCTTCAAGGGTAAGCAGGCTCCTCTTAAGACTCCATTTTGTTTACATAAATCCAGGACAACAGCAATCCATAAAGGAGGAGATAAAAAAAAGGAACTCGGACTGCCAAAATCAGGGCAGAGATGTTTATGACCCATTACTGAAAGCACAGAATTCTTTCTTGCCTAGTATCGGTAATAAAACCAGTTTGTATTTTGCATGCAAACTGGGCCAAGATGAGAAAGCAAGAAGTAAATGCTGGTGTTAAATGAGGCTTCAAGAAGTTTTAACCCAAATCCATAGCCTAGACAGTTTCATTCAACAGGAGGATCATGAAGAGTGACTAAATTAGGAAACAAAGGTGGAGAGTTCTGCTTCCTTACAATGTAGCCACTGACTTAACATGAAGGGGCAGGAGGTAGAAAGGAGTCAGGCAAGCAGGTTACATTTAAACACTATCTGACAACATTCTAGGCAAACCTATCCAAGAAGAAAATAATTTCCAGTTTCTAAGAACATTATTCCTGCCACTTAACATCCACCATGAACTAGTAACAAGAGGATCAAACCTTTGTAAACAGCTTCTGTGAAAAGTTTTTTACCCTAAACATGAAGAATTTGATGTGCTTGGTAGCTGAAGAAAGCAGAGTCAAACACAGAAAGATGTTTTCTACACAAAGAGTAGTCAATACCCAAAGGCATAAAAAGACTCCAGGGAAAAAGTCAGAATCACTACTAGGGAACTGATAAATTCTTAACAAAGGAGTAAAGACCATGTAATAAATACATGGTCAGTATAAGCATGACAGCAAAAACTCTTACTTGTAAATTCCTTTCCCTCACACTAGGATTCAGGAACTCAACAGAGACCAAATAGTTACAATGGTAAATAACTAGAGAAAGGCCACATAAAAAGGATAGCTAAGTTCCTTGGGCTAACAATGGGCTAACAATGGGCTAACAATGGTTTAAAATGTTAGTAAGCAACGAGAATGTGGCTTAAGCATTTATGCTTAAAAAGCAAGAAATATTTTTTAAATGCCTTGTAGGATGCCCACTGGACTGTGAATAGTCCTGCTACAGTCATGTGTTTAGTAACAACAGTAACCTCAGGAAGTCATCATTAGATGCAATGCTGAAGGGAAAAGGGAAAACACACTGGACAGTTCTGAAATATTAAAAACCTGTGCCTCCCTCTTGCCACAAGCTCTGAACAATGAAACACATTTGCAATTTAAGAACAGTGGACATTTTCAGAATAAATGGTAATGGCTGCCTCCAAGAAACTGCTTTACTGTCACATTACTTCATTATCCTTATTTCAATTAAGGGTACATTGGAGCCTAAACCCAATCACTAAAAGAAATACTAGTCTATATGACAGACATATACAGCAAGAGACCCACACTTGGTTCTCAGTATGAGTGCTCTAGTCAGAGCACCTGACCTAGTACTGAAGACAAGCTCCCCAATCTCTGTAATCCCAAAACTATCAAAGATCAAATTCAAGCATTCTATTCTCCCTCCTCAAAGCCCATGCAACCAACTACAACCTGGTTACTTTTTCTTCTAAGAATGAAGAAAATAGGACTAGACTTAAACTGCCCCCCCCAATCTCCATCTAACCCCCCACCCACTCCCATTACCCAAATAATCCCACATTTAATAATGCATTTTAGTTTTCCCCAACACACACATTACTTGTGTGTTGACATCAGTAAGGCAAAAAAGGTAGGGAACCCTTACCTGACATTGATTAGATACTGAGCCAGGCTAATGCTGGCAGCAGATCCAGTGATGGTAACCTGCCTATCAGTAGATCCTTCCACTGGGTTCGCAATTTTGATCTGCGCCCCAGACATCTGACGGATCTCATTGATTTTGGCGCCTTGACGCCCGATTATGCAGCCAATCAACTTTAGGAAGAAAAACAAGAATGCATGCCAAATTTAATAATAGCATGATTAGGTCCAAGAATTCCATCCCACACCTCCAGCCTTCTACAGTTTGGGTCAGTGAACAAGGCAATGGAAACTACCATCCGCATCCTACACTCCACCCATACACCACTGATTGTTATAGATTGCTCTCAACTCTTGGCTATTCTTCTGTCTGACCACTACAGGTCAGAGCTAACTGAGCTGACTGACCATTAGGAGCATCAGTTCATTTTCTTAATTGAGTAAACCCAAAGACAGGGCCAAAATGATAACAAATCTAACTCATCATAACAAACCTAGGAATAAAGATAAAAGTAGCTTTCGTTTTTCAGGCAACATATATGCTTAAAATTCATCCTGCCATGATCGCTTTACTGTAATGACAAGAATTCTTCTTGCCTTGAGAAAAAGTAAAAATTGGCCTGTATTCATACTGTCCAGTACTGTAGATACTAGTAAGAAGTGATCACTGAACATATCAAGTGTGGTATGACTAGTAAAAAATTGAATTTATTATTAAATAGCCACATGTAGTGTGTACCATGTTGAATGGCACACATACACAACATCCAAAGACCACTGCTTTAAGCATAAGGCTTCTGATTCTACAAGAATCAAATGCAAATGGGAATTTCTATTTGATATGAAAAGGTTCTTTGTGCCTATGAATACTCAACAACAGTTTTACCACTGGTCTCCACTGATTTTTACTCACGAGTTGAGGTACTTAAAAACTTTTAATTTGACATCTAAATCCTCCATTTTCTTTCCCTAAACATTAAAACTGACTAGACGTCTATTCTTTAAAACCAATTCTCATAATCCAATGCAACCCCACTAGCCATACTTACATCATTTGGAATGGTGAGTTCATGAGAAGTAGTCTGAGCAGATGCATCCAAACCTGCTGAAAGACAGAAGAGAGCAAGGAAGTTCAATGCACAGCCTACAAATCCCAACTGAGCTGCACATTAATCTAACAGAAGGAAACAAACTGGAAACCCAGCATTAGCTGCTGGGATTCATCACTAACTTGAAAGCCTCCAAGGAGTCAAGAGGGGTAGAGGGGTGGAGAAATAATGCTGGAAAAGTTCCTCTGTATACTCAGAAGAGCTGATTTCATGCCATTTCCTGCAAAGCCCAGCCTATTAGTGTGTAAGGGGATGGAAGCAAGGGAGAAGGGAGTGTGATATGCTTAAACAGGACCCAAATCTAACCAAGTCCTTCTGCACTTCTCTCCTTTTCTGCTTAAAATTTCCAGCTGTTGTGTTCCACTTTTATCTCACCTGATGCTCACTAGCACCAGTGCCAATATCATGCCTATTATTGGGTACCATGGACTCTTGGCACACATGCAGTTGCTTTAAATACACCTGTATCACATTAACAGTGCCCAGCCCCCACAACACCTCCCCCACCACACACTACCCTAACCTACACTTGAAGGTCAGAGGGAATGAAATGGCAGTCAGGTGAGGAAAGTTCATTTCTCCAGATTTATTCCCTGTCTTTTGCTCAATTGCTCATTAATTTTTCTGGGTTTTGTTTTCCAAACAAAAAGAAAAAAAAAATCTGATTAGCAAACACCCACACCCATCTATAATGGCACCTAGACTGGATTAGGGCAGCTAGCTAACTTTCAAGGCTAGTCCTGCTCTCAGCTATGGCTGTTAAACTCAACATGTTTAGAAGGGGGTTGGCTAGATCCACCAAGGGACCCTTCAGGGGCATCAGGCCCAACCTTTTGCTCTCTCAGCTTATTTCTGCCATGTGCATGTTGCTGGTATGTCATGGGCAGTGAAACAAGACTCCCACCAGTTTATTAATATAACAGTAGAATACTACAGATTTTTTTTTTAATCATTACCCCAATAGCCTTTCACCTCTGGAGAGCTGGATTCAATGCCTGTTAAGATACAAGTGAAAATGAGTTTGGTGGTCTCATCCTAACCCTATCGGACAAGTTATTCCTTATACAGAAAAAAAAAAAAAAAAGCCCAAAACAAAACAAAACAAAAACAAAAAAACACTACACAATTTGGCATAAATGGACTGTCTCTACCCAGGTCTGCGAAAACTGGTGGAGAGAAAGGGGATGCCAATCAGATCAAAGGGGCAGCACTGAGGACAAAAGAAATGTCAGCCTACCTTTTGCCTGATAAGCATCCCCAGACCTCAACCCAAACCTTCCAGGGCCCCATTTTTTTTTTTTTAAATAACTCACCCCAAATGAAAACCAAGTTAAACACATTACCTCCTTTGCTTTAGCCACAGAAGATAGGCAAGTTTAAACCAGCAGGATGCTGGGTACGAAGTTGGTCTTAAACAGATGTCAAATTGAGACCTTGGGGCTGGCCTCTGTCTTGCACTACACCTTACAGAAATAAACACTGAGGTATCCATACCACTGAATCCGGTGTTGCCATGCGTCATGGGAAAATGAGACTGTTGCATTGCCAACTGGTGCAGCTTGGTCAACTGCAGGGAGGAAACAGGAGAGGCTGTCATCAGAAGAGTAACAGAGCCAGGGCTCAACATTCAAATGTGAAAATGCAGAGTTCCTGATCCTCGAAGTTGGCTCTACTACTCAAAACTACAACAGAGGGTAAGAACGGGGCTTCTATCACAATTCTGGGGATGGGCAGATTTATGAAGGGTTAGAACAGGAATTAGTGCGAGAGAATGAATGCATTCTGGGTGTGTGAAAAGCAGCAGTACCAGCCCAAGAACCATCCCTTCGTGGGCTATTTAATGAAGGTGTTTGCAGCCATTACAAAAGTTGCCGCAGGGACAAGCACAGACAGGCTAGGTAAACAAACTGTGCAGTGGTGCTAGGGAAAACACACCATGCAGGGTTCTGTCAGAACTGGGAGAAGGGAAGGAGATGAGGGGGCAAGGAAACTGCAAGAAGGAAAGAGATTAGGATGAAAGCAAACTGGGTTTTAGCCCCCACCCCCTACTAGTTTCTACAGCTATTTTTCATCTATATAAACTGACTTGGATGTTGTAAAACAATCCCTCTTCAAGTATACTTCCCCTCCTGGGGCCTACACCACTAACCAAGAGCCAAAGTCAACTTCCCTCGTCTAATGCTCAGCACCTGAAAGGGTTAGTAAAGATAGAGGAAAAGTGCAGAAAGAAACGCCCTGTAACAAAGTCTGAATACCAACACTTTTTAAATGAGTTTTTAGTGGCAAGGTTTTATTGAGTTGAATACCCAAATATTCCTTCCTATCCTTCCGTGTGTAAATAAGCCCCTTTCCCACCCTTCCAGATGCTTTTATAATTATCACCTCAAATTGAGGAATACCCAAAGACAAACCCACCTCCCACTACCCCCTGGAAAGGACTCCATACAGAGAGATGCACTGTCCACTGTCAATTTAAATTGTACCCAGAAATAACAAATGACAGAATACCACGGAACATTTCTTTTAGTAGAGTAATCTGGAACACGGGGAAAAGCAGAACCTAATAGATTTCCACATTATAATTTCCAGGGATTAAATGTCAAAAGACAAACAAGGTACTACTATGCCCTGATTAAAGATTATTTAAGGGCTGAAATGTGGGATTCATCTTGTGACATTGCAACAGTTTAAGACCCAACTTATTTCTGCCTACATAGAAGAAAGGAGTGAGACAATTTTGGATGAGAAAGGGAGCTTTTCAAAACAAGAAGTAAAAACAAAACTTACATCTGGCTGTGGAATGGCATACTGTCCTTGAATGGTATAGGCCTACAAAAGGAGGAAAACAGTTCCTATTAAAAACCAATCACGGACAGCCACCCAGTGGGAAGAAAAAGACAGATTTCAACTAGCCAGGAAGCCAGAGTTGAACTAAAGAATGGGGAGGCCAGGAATTGCGGCAGTATATGCTATCTCACAAATACAGTCGACCCGAGTTGGCCTTCTTCAAACCCTAGATATGATGAATTATTCTTGGAAGCCTATGAAGGGAGCCATATTCCCTGCAATCAAAGGCAAAATACACATGGGTTTCTTAATGAAAATGTGGGAAGTGGGATTAACCAATGCCTCATTTGACCAAGCCCCCTTCTTTCTCCCTGTGTATAAGATAGCGTAGGAGAAAAAAGGTCTCTTCCCTCAACCACCCCAACCATTCTACCAATCATGGCAATGTAAGTTGATTTGTGTTTGCACAAACCTCCATGGCATGTTTTGAAACACTTCCCTTTTCCTATCTTATTTCTCTATATCTGCCTAAAGACTTTAAACACACTGGAAGCTAGCTGAGTCCCTAAGCACTAGGGAGACAACCACAGAACACACACACAAAAAATCAGTATTCTAAATCCTGCCTTCTCCCACCTCCCCTCCATAAAAGATACTTGGCAGCTCCCACTACACCCTCCTCCCCCCACACCATAACCTCCGAAAAGGGAGCTGGGTCTCCAGGGCAATGGGGTGTGGGACAAGGAGGAGCAGGAAAAGCAGGGAAGGAAGGACTGGCTGGCTAAAAGGATGTGAGGCTTCTCACATCAGTGGCCAGTACCCCCAAAAGTACACCCAGGTTGGGGTAGGAAGGTGAAAATGGGGGAGGAGTGGGAGACAAGGAAGAGGGGTTGAACAAAAAGAAAAAAAAAAGGAGAGTTGGTGTTACCATCTGGTGGGCTACGCGGCCTGTGTGAAATGAGGTGTGGGGGGGGTCAGTCCAGGTCCCCGTGGACAGGTGGTGTCCACAGCACAAAAATCACCAGCGCCACTGGCCCCCCGCGTGTTGGCAGTCTCGGCTGAGGCGGAAGGATTGAGTGAGCCTTGGAGACTGAACATCCCCTCTCACCTCTAGAGGTGGTCCCTCCAGGTCAGGGTTGAGGCACATGGACGGGGTGGTGTGGGGAAAGCTCGCACTGTCGCTGCCTGTGCTGTACCTGTCCTGTGGATAAATAGAGGATTTCAGTCTCCAGGGCTGTCAATCCGGCACCTTGTCACCAGCATGAAATTCACACAAAAAAAGTTGTTTAATTTTTCTTTTCCTTTAAAAAGTAGCTCACAACACAATTTGAAACGAGCTGCAATCAATTAAAAAAAAAAGTTACCTAGAGGCAGATTTCATACTGCACAATTGGGCTATTTTCAGTAAGAATAAAGGGGTAGGGCAACAGAGCTGATGCCAGCTCCTGGTCAGTGTGGGATTAAATTGAACCCCTATAGAGCCCACTTTCTCACAAAGGAACAAAAGACACAGGTCCATCTGTGGACATTGCATGAACTGGTCCATTTAAAAAGGCCCATGTGCATAATCCACGACAGGGCCACTCATGGAAGAAGCTGCAAGCTTTTAGAGGGTGGTCAACTGAATAAAGGGGAGGGAGGGGAGGGAAGCAAAGAGGTAAGAAGGGGGGGGTGGGGGGAGGAAAGGGAAATGAAAAATTATAAATAGAAAGGATTGTTGTCGCCCATCACAGGACTGTTTATAATCCCAATGGGGAGTAGAAGAATCCAGAAGAGCAGGAACCTGGAGTTCCTGGGGAGAAGGAAAAAAACTCCTAAAGCTAAGCCTTGCTACACTGACTCTGGCTGGGCCTTTTCTTATCCTGCCCCTAACCAGACTGACTGAAAGTCCTCTGATCAAACCAGTTTGCACAAGGCTAGTGTTAAAAGCAAGGTACTAAACTGTTTCAGTTAACACTACGACATGATTAAGTTCTTGTGAAAAATCCCAGGACTACATGACAAACTAAGTCCCCCAAAACTTGTTCAGTTTTATGCCAACTCAACACAATGTGAATGAGACAGACTTCAAGTTTATGCTTTCCCAGTTCAAATACAAGATGGGACAAAAAAAACTGTGCTTATACACAGGGCAGCCCTAGTGGGAAGGGGAATTTTGAGTAATGCACTTATTTAGGCAGCTACCAAGATGAAAGTCACTATTCCAACCTGAACTCCAGCATTTAAAAAACTGACCTACCTACTCCTCAAATAGTAACCAACAAAGCATAAAACTACCATGGTGACCAGTGCTCTTTTCATAAAAATCTAACTTCATAATAAACCATGTGCCAAGGATCAAGACGTGGATGAAGGAGTAGAGAGCCCAAGGGGGTGCACTCAAACACCAAAGGTCAGAGCACCACTGCCCAACATACTCTCCCCCCTTCTATTCTTGCACACTGAACCTTTACCGGAGCTGATTTGTTATGCCATGTGGGTTCAAACCAGTGTTTATGAGGTTAAGAGCCTGGTGGACAACACACTGGAATTTGGGAGTGAAGGGTAGGAGTAGGGGAGGTGAGGTGAGGGGAAGGGAAGTTTGTAGGACACTCAAGTTCTGGAACCCCAATTTTGAGACCACCATCCAGAATCACCTTCAGAGGTCTCTTTGCTACCTTTATTCAGACCTCTAAAGAATACCCCACACATAAAAATACACGGATGGGGTAGGGGTAGGGAAAGTAGTGACATCAAAGTAATTTCATTTAACCCTTTCTTCTAAGCCAACCCACCTTAAATCACCAAGTAAATTACCTCTTCGAGTGCCTACAAAACTCCCATTGCCTGCTGAAAATTAAGTAAGGGCTTGGCATTCATAGCTTTCTCCAGTACAAAAACAAAACAAAACAAAACAAAACTAAAAGCAGGTCAAACTATGGCCAGAGTAGAGGTTTCAGCAAGCATGCAGTGGCCTGATGTGCTGCTGGCAAAGTTGACATTTCAAATATAATCCTTGTTCAAATCTAGCCCAGCAATAAGAATTTTCTTACCTGACCACCTGCAAAGATGACCGGAGAACTGGACGGCTTGGGCCGGTACGGGATGGTCACGCCCTTCGGGGGGGACTGGGAGAGAGTCAGAGGGGAAAAAAACAAAAAGAGATAAGGTTTCAAAGCTGCTTCAGCTGTGTGGCTTAAGCTCACACAGGTCAGTTAAATTAAAGACTGTATTTCCATTCCCTCACCTACCAACATGGTCTCTGGCTACACCTCATCTGAAATCATCTGTAGTTACTTGCCTTTAATGTAAGTAGTAAGATGATCCATGGACTACACAGCACACACTAATTCTCATCAAGGTAGATTCCCCTATAATAATTTAGGCATTATTTCCATGTTTTCAAATAAGTCTAACGAATATGAAAAACTTCTGTGTTCATATATGTACATTTTAGTTGGTGCCTTTTAGATCTTAATTTTGGCCTGAATAGGAAATCAAGCCAAAATATGAAATACAGCACCCAAATGTTACTTACATCTAAGATAATACAGGCACTGTCCATAAACAGTTCAAAGGCTCTATCAGTATTTTTCTAAACTCTACTAGAAAATTCTACTTTCCTTTGTCACCAATATGGGAGACCAACTCCATATGACAATTCTAAAAAGTTTTAATATCCCTTAATTTTGCTATTCTTGCTTTAATTAAGTAACAGCACATACCAGGACCTCGTAAATCATTCATAAACACCATTATGGATACACTTTTTCTACATAACCACCCCTTTGAATAGAATCCTGCCACAAAACACAGAAATTTAAAAAACATGTCAAAGTGGAAAGCAGCCAAATCTTTGTGAACTTAAAAGGCAATTTAACTTAGCTTCTCAGGAACCCAAATACATCTTTTGTCCAGTAGATAAACTTCCCCTACCAACCCCACTTAGAATTGCTATAACCCAAAAGATCACTGCTGCTTAGCAGTTTCTGTTTTTGCTCAGACTATAAGAAAAGCCAAAGCTGGGGGAAGAAAAATATGAACCCAGGGAACCTCTTCCCCACCCCCGTTGGAGACTTCTAATAGCTTCACCTAATTCTAGTCTTACTAAATATAGATTAGTCTATCTCCCCTAGAATCACCCTCCCCCCATTCTCAGCATGAGCCTGAGGGCTTACCTCCAACATGACCACACAGATCTGTTTCACACACTCGATGATGGACTGCGGAATGCCAGCAATAGTGATGGCCCGCTCGGTTGAGTTGGGGAGCATATCCCCTGCCACCTGGACCTGAGCCCCTGTACTCTAGAGTAAAAAGAAATTTAAAATCAGAGAAAAACAGCTCATACTTACTCTCCCAATTTTTCCCAGTAGCAACTTATAGAGTCTAAAGCTCAGCAGACTCTTGTCCTACCTCCTGTCTTACCCTTTTTAACTTCCCTTTCCACTCTTCCCTTATTCCAGATAGGACTATTTAATGACAGTTATAAATAAATTAGCCTCTGAAAGCCAAGAATAAGCCTGAATAACAGCCTAAATTTAACCTGCTCTCAAGAAAAAAGTCCTTCTAGATTGTTTCCTCTGAGCTAATATTAACTGTGGCCCAAGCAAAATCCCCACAAATGTCACCCACCTTTTGAGATTACCATTACATCCCAATATGCCTTCCTGTTTCCCCTTCAGTATTTAGGAATTTGGCCAAGGAAAAAATCTGCTACTATTATGTATTAAATTGTAAACTCTTTAAACATGAAAAAGAATTATGCAGCCTCAGGAAAAACTGGAAATTCTGGTTAACTTTTTCAGTCTTAGGTTTTGTGTGTGTGTGTTTTTTAATTTTTAAAATATTTTATTTACTTATTTTTAGAGAGGGTGAAGGGAAAGAAAAATGGAGGCGGAGAAACATCAATGTGTGGCTGGCCTCTCGCACACCCTGCCCTAGGGACCTGGCTCACAAACCAGGCGTGTGCCCTGACTGGGAATCAAACAGTGACCCTTTGGTTCAGCACTCAACCCACTTAGCCACACCAGCCAGGGCTGATTTATTGTTCTTTGAATGTATAAACTGTTAAAAAAAAAATGAGCTGTACATTATTTTTCATCCCAGTATAAACAAACTGTAATCTTCTAGGACTGTTACTTTAATAAAAATCTTCACCTCAACAAATGCTAACTTTTCCTAGTCACAGAAATAACAGAAGCAGCCACATGTAGAATACTTATCTGTTCAAAAGGGAGCACAAAAGTCACCAACCTCTCGTATTTCCTTGATCTTGCAACCACCTTTCCCAATGAGAGAGCCACACTGACTAGCAGGGACCACCAGCCTCAGGGTAACTGGAGGTCTACTGGCAGCTGTGCTATTGGTCATAGAGCTGCTGATGTCCTACAAAAAGAAGTTAGTCAGAACACCAGAATATAACAAGTTTTAAGCAGATCCCTGGGAACCCGTAACTGCCATAACAGAACCAGTTACCCTTAATAAGAAGCATATTGTATGTATCATGATCACTATCAACAAATACCCAAAAATATCCCCTTCAAAACAAGTATTTCTGAAAAGATAGTAACACCCACAGACTTCCTCAAAATTCACCCTATATATGGTTATTCACCCTGGGGAAGGCATTCTTGGTATGGAGAAAAACAATTATTAGTTTTAAAATTAGAGTTGACTAACCAAAGAAAAACATGAAGTTAAATAAAATATTAAAATATGAAACAATGAAACCCTAAATTCAAATAACCAATTACTTCCTCTTGGAAATCTAGAAAGATTAAGTAGTACACTTCTATACATCATTGTTTTAATTTCTTGGAAATACTACCATTGTAGAAAAAATGAAATTGAGGCCGAGTACTGTCCCCAATCACCCCTAAAAAGCTATAGATTTGAAATTTAAAAAACTATACTGGCTCCATAGGCCATAATCTTTCCCGTTACAATATACTACATCCAAAAAGTCATGGTTTTAACCTAGTTAAATTTAGCCTTCTGAAAGCTAAATAGTTTAAATATCACTGCTCAGCCTAATGTCTATATAGTAGCTAGACCTGGGAATGGCTTAAATGTAAATCTTAAAGTCAAGGCCAATGGTTCTCATTTGGTTCAGGTGGAAAAGTCCATTTTCTGAATGTTTTTTAAGCCCTCAATTCTGGATTAGCAGGGTCTTGCAGGTCAAGAGGTAACATTTCTGATCTTGGCAAGAACAGCATTTCAGCAACCAAGTATCCAAGGACCAATCAAGCAGCAGCCAGAAGCTCTCCTCTGCCTGTGGTGTCAGTGAACGATTAGCAATATTACTGCAGAAGGGAGAAGGTGAAAACTGAAGACCTAGGACAATTTGGCACCTGAAGGCTGAGGTGGCTTGGTGAATGAAAAAACTCCTTCTGCAAAAAAAGCCTGAAATTGGCATTTCCCTTCAGATAGATAACCTATAAAACATATTCCCTCCTTCCCAGTATAGCTCGAACACAAAATCATCAGGCTGATTTTTGAAAACATTAACTGTACCCAGAGTTGGAAGGTATCTGTATTTCTGAGGAATATTAATGGTCAGCAGGGTCCCTAACAAAATGACAAGTCATTCACTCAACTATGAATTGGGGACATAAAGTTTACCAATGCAGTGGTGGCATACATTTGAAACTGTTTTTACAATGAGTCCCTGGCCATAGTCAAACTATTTAATACTGAAGTTGACTTATTTTTAAACTACAAATGATCAGATTTTGAGGAGGCTGAAGGGAAGCAAAAAACCCATCTACAGATTTTTATAATCCAATCTGTCCTTGAATTTATTTTTTAATTACTTTACTGTTGTTCAATTACAGTTTGCATTTTGTCCTTGAATTTAAAATGCCCTTTGAAAAATCACTAAGCTATCTAGAAGCAATTAAAAATGGACAATGAGGGAGGAGAGAGAACAACAAACCTCTTCCAGTTTGTCAATGATCATAGCAAAGGCTTTGAAGATGGCATTAGTGGGTCCAGCCAAAGTGATAATTCTCTCAGGACAATTTCCTTCTGAGATGTTGATACGTGCACCACTCTGGATAAGAAACAGGACCAAGAAGTTAAATAGACTGAAGATCTGAGCATATACAGACTATACAAACCTTCCTAAATAAGATGGGCATGGAGCTGCCTATGTACATGACCCTACTTGCTACAAGGCAATGTCAGCATCATTTCAAATATCATTCCATGTTTGTCCTCAAAGAGACTACTTCTAGAAGTTGCCTCATGTCTTGAATAAACTGAGACTTGCCAGAACTACATTTCCCAGTAAACTATTTGTAATTACAAATAACCGAGCCGGAAAAATACTGGCTTCTTCTCGAGACCTTCCCTTCTAATCTCTCCTTAAACAGAATATTTGCTTTTAAGTTTTTAACTTCCCAAAGTAACAGTCCCCAAAATACCCCCACATAACTCACCTCCTCGCGCATCTTCTTAACTGATTCTCCTTTCTGGAAGAGAAAAAGTCAAGAGTGAGTTCAAACTATTTCAACCCACACTGACTAAATAGTAATTAGAGTTGAAATGAAATTGTCTTACCTTTCCGATGATACTGCCAACTTCCTGCGATGGAGAAAACTAGTGTCAAATAAGAGGGAACTTGAAGTGTTCATTATCATGAAAAGGAATTTTTAACCGTGAAAGTAATGGAAAAACTAGAATCACTGAGAAGGGGAGTGGGCGGGAGTATTCTTTTCTTCACTCAAAATGTATGGGAAGGTCTCAAAGAATTTTGAGAAGTGATTAACTTTTATCTTCTTGTTCCATATAAATTACTTTTAAAAACATCAAACTTATCCCCCCCTTGAAATTTTCCAAAATTGTTTGGACAGGGAAATCTACTATCACAATATAGCAACCTTTATGAGAAAAATCTTATCATCCAGGTATGACATAGTCTTTGGCTCTAGCTTCTAATTAAGCCTTTGCTGCTCAGTGGAGCTTCCCAGTGAAGTCTGTCCATTTCTCCATTACACTCTGATCTACACTGCTAGAGAGGAGTAAAGCCAGACACCCTACAGTGCTAATCTGATGACCTCCAAGATACTGCCCTCTCTTCCTGGCCCCTCCCCTAGCAGTTACTATGACCCAATTTCCCAAGCTGGTGCATACCTTTCCATGCATAAGTAGCCGGATAGTGAGTGTGACGTTTAATCCACCTTCAATCACACCGGTGTCCATGTTGAGCAGTGTTCTAGGGAGCAGGACTTTTGAGTGGTCAAATCTTTGGTCACTGGTGGGGGGTGGGGGGGTGGGGGAGGGTGAAAGCCAAAAACTGAAATGCAAACATGACCAAAATGAGAAAAAGAGAACAGAAAAAAAATATTTCCCTGTTATTTTCATCATTATCAGTGTTTTGTTACTGACTCTCCCTTAAGTGACAGCCTATCAGTTGGCTATATACATCCAGCACAATGCATTAGCAGCTCGGGTTCTGTTAAGCGTATAGAAGGCGACTTTCCAGGCTCTCATTAATGGTCAGGTTTCTGCTGACTCTCAGGATGAGGAAGATTCTTTCAATTGGCAATGGTTCTAAGGGGAACTGCTGAACGTGCATTAGTTGTCCTTCAGCAGAATTAAGCTTCAACAGGATACAGAAACACCTGGAAATCATGAGGGCAAACCTCAAACCAACCAACTACAAAGAGAGCAAATGACCTTCTGCTTCCCTGATAGGGAGCAGCTCAGACTGAAAGCTACAGAGGACAAGTAATTTTCTTACTGGTGGTAATTCCTAGGTAAAGAAATTGAGATGTAGCTCTCATTAAAAGTTTAAATGTTGATAAATGACACCAAATGATTTTTCAAAGATTTAAATCAACAACCTCAGTGAAAAAGCTATTATCTGCAATGCCCTCCATGTAGGCTTGGTGTTCCATATTCCCCTCTAGGAAATGACTCGATACATTCATTCAAGTATAGCCTTCCCCCAAACCAAGTTGATAGTCACTCAGATTTTAAAAATTTCCTTGCTTCTGTGTATTACCTGTTACTTCTCAGTCTTTATTCAAGTCCCTCAAATATTTTTCCACAGAAAATAATCAAAATAAAACTGATATTGCTAAAAATTTATTGTGTAGTTGTTTTAAGTAACAACAGTAACAAGCCTTTCCTATGGAGGAGGCCCTATCCCCACCTATCCTCAATTTCTTAACATTTGTTTTAGAACATTATGTGAAGAGAATGTTTTTTTGATATATGTATCTTTGCTTATAATAAATACCGCCTTAAGATTTAACTGTGACATCTTAAAAAAAGCTCTCTCCAAAGTTGTTAAATTTCTCTAGTGAACTTTCTAGTATCCCTCCCCTCAAAACTCAATGGTGGCTCTCTCACAGCTAGTTTTCCCTTTACACAACTAGCCATCGCTCTAACTTTAACTTGGCTCGAACAGAAAGCCTTTACCCTAAATATTTAAAAGCGTTCAAGTGGCTTCCAGACCATTCTGTATAAGGCAAGCTGCCTCATGGATATCTTAAGAGTGTGATTATTTAAAAGATGGGCTTTGCAGCCCCAAAACATCCCTCCCCCCATTTTTATAATTAATTGCTGGCAAAATTCCATAATTCAATACTTTTCAATCATGGAAAAACAAAAGTGCTGGCGGGGATAAGGAGAGACGGGACAGAGGTCTGTAAGAATGACTTTTTTTTAATAAGCTGTGGTAACAAAGTAACAGTTTAATTCCTTATCCCCACTCAAATATAATAGGAAGCACTTTACAAATACAACAAGACAAGTTTGAAAGGGCAAGACAACTGAAAACCTATATGAAGCCATTTCTTGAGGTAAGGCACAAAGGTGCATTTCTAACTCCAAATCATCAAAAAAAAAAAAAAAAATCCCTGTCAGATTTCTGTCCTGACTAGGTCAGTGTTAAATGTACACAATCCCAGCAATCCAGCTGTTAATCCTGCAGTCCATTACCCCTTCTATAAATAGCTCCGTCTGGGTCTATATCGGCAAGCATTTTGTAATTTCAAAATTCGTTACCCCGAGAGAACGTCCTGAACAACTCGGTAACTGGGAGCCCATCTACCCTTTCTTTAACTCCGCAGCCCCCCCCCCCCACGGTCACCCTAGCGCTTTCCACTTAAAAAATGTTCCCCCGCCCCCCGCAATCACTCGACTAGAAAAGGAAAAAAAAATAAAAACGGTTCGGTCGGGGGGGGGCGCTGCGACCCAGGGGGAGGGGCGCTGCGACCCAGGGGGAGGGGCCGGACTAGCAGTGTCTCTTCGCGTGGCTGCGCCAGCGCCTGACCCCCGCGGGGAGCCGCGCTCACCCGCCAGGCCAGCAAGTCGGCCATTCTCCTCCCCCCACCCCGCTCAACCAACAAATCCACCGCCGCCACCCCAACTGCGCGCGCGCTCTCCTTAACTCCTGCGCAGCCGCCACCGGGAAAAGGCGGGGGGGGGGGAGGGGGGAAGGCCTTGCGCGAGGCCTAGTAGGCCGCGAAGGAGCCAGGGCCTCGCGTGAATGGCCGGGCAAGCAGAAAAAGGAGGTAGGCGCTCACGCGAGACTACGCGAGGTCGGGGCTCGTGACGAGGACCGAAGCCCGCTAAGAAAGATGGCAAGAGTGAAATTAGCGCTATAACCGGGGGCGGAGAGAGAATTTTGAAGCTTACCTGCAGGCGCGAGGCGACTGAGGGGAAAAGGGGAGCGGGCGGGAAGGGGAAGGGCGGGAGGCCGGGGGCGGAACAATAGGGGCGGGCGGGAAGGCGAGGGGGCCCCCGCGGGCGGGCGGAGGAGGAAGGGGGGGGGTGGAGGAGGAGGAGGAGGAAGGGGGAAAGAGACCCCGGGGCGGGTGGAGGGCGGCGGAGGGCGGGCGGGCGGGCGGAGGGCGGGCGGGCGGGAGAGGGCGCAGGCTGCGGCTGCTCCGGCTGCTGCCTCTGCTGGTCTGGGAGGGGGACGGGGCGGAGCGGCTCGCTTTCAACCCCGCGCACCCTCCGACCCCGGAAGCGCTAACCGCCCCGGGGGCCGGCGAGGCGACCGCGTCGGCCAAACCTTCCCCACGCAAAACGGACGGCCTCCCAATAGCCTAGAGCGGCTCCATGGACAGCGTCGGCACCAGCGATACGACTGCTGGTAGCACATAGCGAAGTCTATGATAGAGCGGCAGCAAGGGGGCAGTGAGGAATCTAGTGGCCCCTAGTGGGACGATTAAAAAGTCCAGGCGCAAGTGCGGAGAGAGTTGGCAGTCGCGGAGAATAAAGGAGACCAGGGAAAAAGAGATGGCTGAGGACATCCATTTGAGATAAGAACCGGGAAAACCTCGGAAATCTAGTTACTCAAAAATAGAGAGAAAAAACAAATTTGCTAAGGTAACTTTTACACCAACTCCTTACTATGAAAATTGCTAACTATAAGGAAATATTGAAGCATTTACCCTCTCTGTTTAGGAAGAACTGAAATTGATTCTTAGTCGATAAGGGAAAACTCTTTTTCAAAAGAGTGCCATCTAATAAATGCATAAGCGATGAAAGGGTTAGAAAATCCCCATTCGTTCTGCAACCCAAAATGAAATAATTGACTCAGGCAAGTGCTATAAATTACCAAAACTTTAAGCAAAACGTTGTTAGGGAATAGGGTATTATCATGGTGCCAAATATCACAACACAGATTGTTTGCAAATCACACAGAAAAAAAAAAGATAACTTATGCCCTGGCTGGTGTGGCTTAGTGATTGAGTGCTTCTGGCCAGTGAACCAAAGGGTCCTGGGCTCAATCCTGGTCAGGGCACATGCCTGGGTTGCGGGCCAGGTGCCCAGTGGGGGGCGTGAGAGGCAACCACACCCTGATGTTTCTCTCTCTTTCTCTCTCCTTTCCCCTCTCTAAAAATAAGTAAACAAATCTCTTTAAAAATAATAATAATAACTTAAAATGGAGTGATCTGATGGTCAACACCTTACCCAAGTGATCAAACTTTGCATCAGTAATAGTAGGGCAACTTTGACATTATGTGATCCTTGATGAGAAGCAATAAGATGTATGTAGCATCACCTATGAAGTATTCTTGTCAAAGTGTTTAATCTTAATCGAATCAAGCCTTTAGATCTAATTTGCACTAATTTGCAATTTATTGGATATTTACATGGGATAAAGAAACAAGTTAAACACATCACACTGTAAGGAGGTAATCAGCAAATCTAGAATGTGAGACATTCTGCAAGACAGCTAGGCTGGTCTCTTCTTCAAAAGGCAATGTAATAGGAAAAAAATAAGAAGGGGGAGGAATAAGAAATTAAAAAGGCAATAATAATCTAATGTAATGTGTAGATATTGTTTGGATACTGTGATTTTTAAAATTCTAAATATTTTGGGGACAATTGAGGAAATTCAAACATGAACTGAATATTTGCTAATACTAGGAAGTATTGGTAATTTTCTGAAGTGCAATAATGGAATTGTGGTTATGTAGGAGACATACTACAATATTTAAGTGGTGCATGAAGAGTCCTGACCAGGTGGCTCAGTTGGTTGGAGCATCATTGCATACACCAGAAGGTTGAGGATTTGATCCCCAGTCAGGGCATACACCTAGGGTGCAGGTTTGATACTGGATCAAGGCACATATGGGAAGTAATGGATCGATGTTTCACTCTTACATCAAAGTTTCTCTCTCTCTCTCCTTTCCTCTCTCTAAAATCAATTAAAAACATATCCTTGGGTGAGGATTTAAAAAATTAAAAAAGAAACAGGTGCATGATGAAATATTTAAGGATGGTCATGATGTATGCAACAAACATTCAGGTGGTTCACATAGGTATGTCAATAAAGTAAGTATGGTAAAGTGTTAGCAGTTATTGAGTGTAGGTGATAGGTTTTATGGGTGATCACTGTACTGCTTAAACTTTTAAAAAATAATTTTCATTAATAAAAATTAGAAAAAATATGATGTGAAATGGAACAAGATTAGAAAGATGTTGATAATAACTGAAGCTAGGTGATAGGAACATAGGGATCCATTCAACTTCTTTCTCGACTCTTGTAAATTTCCACATTAAAACTTTTTTTCTAAATCCTCAACTGAGAATAGGTTTATTGATTTTAGGGAGAAAGGAAAAGAGAGAAACATCGATGTGAGACAGAAACATGGATCTGTTGCCTCCCATAGGTGCCCTGACTGGGGATCCAACCCACAACCTAGGTATGTGCCCTGACCAGGGATCGAACTTTCAGACTTTTGGTGCATGGGGGCAATGCTCCAGCCAACTGAGCCACTCAGCCAGGGCCACATTTTTTTTTTTTTTGTTT